CCCCACCCCCCACCCACCACACACACACACACACACACACACACACACACACTCACAAAGGAAAACTCAGATCCTCATGAAATTATATGATTTTAGGAGCTGGGATTTTAAGAAAAACTTTAAATATTATAAGACTTGTGGTAAAATCCTGAGTTGACAACACTGCAGCTGCCAAAACCGTCAGTTCCTTGATGACTTACTTGTGCAATGCAGTTTTGCATTCTCAATGCAGTATGTGCAGTTTACTGAGTGTGGGGACATTAGAGCTTTGATCAGTGCCTGGCTAACGGCCACAAGACTCTATGCCTTGGAGCTTTCGTCAGCCCAGCTGTTTGAAGTCTTTGAGTGGTTAATCACTCCCTGGTGGTGAGAGGCAGAGCTGAACCGAGCTAAGCAAAGCAGGGAAGAGGTAGTATAAAAAGTCACTTGCTAGAATAGATGAACTCAAGAGCAGTAAACAAAGGTAGTGAACAGGAGAGTTTCAGAGGGAGTAGCTCCAGCTACAGAGTGTGTTTTGAGGTAGCAGGACTTGGTGAGTGGGGTGTTTGGCCCATCTGTGAGTTGTTTGTTTGTTCTCTGGGTACAGGCTATGTAGCCAGGTTGTGGGCCTCTAAGTAAGCCCTTGGCGCTTTAATTAGTGCTTTGCTAAAGACTGTGAGTCTCTACCGCTTGGAGCTTTGATCAGCTGTTTGAAATTTCTGAGTGGTTAATCACTCTCTGGTGGTGAGAGGCAGAGCAGAACTGAGCGAAGCAAGGAAGACTTGATATAAAAAGTCACTTGCTAGATGAACTTGAGAGCTATGAAAAGAGGGAGCTTACAGAAGGAGTGTGAGAGGCTTTCCTTCCCAGTTCAGCCCTATATATGATCAGATGGCCTGTGATAGAAAAGTGGTGGTGGTGGCCTGCAATGGAATGTGCCATGTTCTCTTTCCTGCATGAGGACAGAAGGGATTTTCTGTGCATGAAGTGCAAGTTGGTGACTGTGCTGAAGGAAAAGATTCTTGAATTGGAGGGGCAAGTTGAGACTCTAATAAGAGAACTGGAGGAGTTCCTAGACAACCAGATTCAGGAAACACCAGTACCCCAGGTCTAAGGAAGAATGGAGCTGGTCACAAGGGAACTGGGGAGAGAGAAGAAGTCAGAGAGAAGGCCTGGCAGTTTGTAACCACCGGAGACAAGAGGTCATGGCAACATTCTTCATGGTTGGAGACAGATGAGGATAGATAGACTATGGCTACCAGAAAGAAGAGAAACCGGAGAAATTCCACACCGCTCTAGACATTTCAAATCAATAACAGGTCTTCAGTGTGGAAACTATGGAAAATGCCTCTCAAGATCCAGGAGGTCCAAAGGAATGGAGAGATGTATAGGACACACATATGGATGGCAGCTTGGTCTAACCTGTAGGAAAATCAAGCTTACCTTTAAAAGAGTTCTCTAACCATCCAAGGAAGTCGGACCCTTGTGGGAGATTCAGTACTCAGAAGAACCAAAAGGGAAAGGTGGACAACAGGACAATGTGCTGCCTTTCTGGAGCCAAAACTCCAGATGTCCCTCTAGGATTGGCTAGGCTTCTGAAGCCTACAGGCCAGGATCCATTGGTGATGGTTCATATCATCCCACAACACAGTGTCATTAGTGCTATCTTACGGATACTAGATGAATTTAGGGAACTTGGAATCATGCAGAAGAATAATAATGTCCAAGTGATCTTCTCTGAGATACATCCTGTCCCATGACCAAAGGAAGGCAGAATGCAGAAGATTCTGGAAGTGAAGCACTGGGTAGGTAAGTGGTATAGGATGGAGGGCTTTGGTTTTGTGGAACATTGGCCCACTTCTCCTATGGGGAGAGGGAGCTGTATAGTTTGGGTGGCCTCCACCTCAGAAGAAGGGGGACCAATCTGCTTGTGGACAGACTGCTTAGAGTAGTCAGGAGGGGGTTAAACTAATAGCAAAAGGGGAGGGTTAAAAGGGGGACAATATGAGCACTCGTTTAGCACAAAATTGAGATGTTGAGAACAAAATCAATCAAGGAACCAAAGGACATGAAATGCTTGAATTTCCTATATACTAATTCTAGGAGCCTGGTTAACAAACAAAAGAATTGCTCATTTATGAGCATACGTTTGATCTAGTTAGTATTACTGAAACCTGATGGGATGATTCACACAACGGGAATGTTAAAGTCAATGTTTATAAACTATTTAGGAAGGTCTGAGTGAGCGAAAGGTGAGAGGGAGTGGTGCGCTATGTAAAAAAGGGCATTTTCTGTTTCCAAGTCACTGATAACTTGGAAGAAAATAATCTTGAATGCTTATGGATCAGTGTCCTAACAAATAAAGCACAAGATGGGGTATTAGTTGGTGTCTGCTACAGACCACCAAATCACACTACATAACTGTCTTGCATCTGAAGAAGTGAGGTTCTTACCCACGAAAGCTTATGCTCCCAATACTTCTGTTAGTCTTAAAGGTGCCACAGGACCCTCTGTTGCTTTTTACAGATTCAGACTAACACGGCTACCCCTCTGATACACTACATAACAGGATGACCACCTCCTTCAGACCTGTGTCTAATGTGTAGGGGAAAATACTGTGTGATCATGGGTGAGGTCAATTTGAGTGACACATGCTGGAGAGCTCATGCTGCCAGCACTAAAACATCTTTGGAATTTCTAAACATTATAGATGACAATTTCTTAACACAAAAAGAGTTGCAGCCAATATGAGGGAATTCTGTATAGGACCTTGTCCTAACAGATAGAGTAACTGATTCCAGAAATAAAAGTTAATGGTAGCTCAGGAACAAGTGATCATAACTTGATCACATTTATAATGTGCAAGCAGAATAAGGTCCAGACAAGCAATAAACACTTGGTGTTTTAAAAGGGCCAGTTTCACAAAGATGAAAACAATTATGACCCAGATCTTCTTGGAGGAAGAATTTAATCAGAAAAATATGAATGATAATTGGGAATCACTTAAGAATACTTCACTAGTTGCTCAAAAAGCCACAATCCCACAACTGAGGAAGAAGACTGATATATTTTTTCATTAAACCAGCACAGCCTGGTTTAGAGAGGAAGTGAAGGCAGGTGTCAAAAAATAAATAAACAAATAGAAGAAAGGTGAAGTTGAGACTAATGAATATAAATCAGAAGTTGGGAATTGTAGAAAATTGATAAGGGAAACCAAGGGACACGAGGCAAAATCCATGGCCAGTAGCATTAAGGACAAGGAGTTTTTTGAGTATTTTAGGAACAAAAATAATCCATTACTATATGGAAATGGTAGAATTATCAATAATAATGCAGAAAAGGCAGCAGTAGTCAAATATTTTTGTCCAATATTTGGGGGGAAAACAGATGAAGTCGCATTATCTGATGATGATAGCACTCTTTCCATTCCATTAGTATCTCAGGAGGACGTTAAACAGAAGCTGCTAACGCTAGACATTTTTTAAATCAGCAGGTCCACATAACTTGCATCCAAAAGTTTTAAAAGAGCTGACTGAGGAGGTCACTAGCCCATTTAATGTTGATTTTTCAGTAAGTCTTGGTGTATTCTCCATCACTGACAATTTTTTTTTTTTAAATCAAGATGGATTTTTTTCTAAAATCTGCTCTAGGAATTATTTTGGGTAAGGTCAATGGATACTGGTTATATAGAAGGTCAGACTAGATGATCACAATGATCCCTTCTGACCTTAGTCTATGACATCATCATGATCCAAATGCAGTGTAACATCAACACAATACCAGTACGATCTGGATGATTCATTTTCATATTTAACTCATTAAAAAATCTGTTTTAAATAAGATGTTTCTGAATTTCCTGGGACTGTGCCTCAGGTTTTTAGGTACAGCTTGCTGCTGAGTCTATGAAGCCCTAACTGTTCTTGTCCAAAATCTGAATGAGTGTGCTTTTTGCTTTGGCTTCTGGCAAAGATCAGCTACCTCTTCTGTAGGTCGACTAGAACTTGCATTTTCAAAGAGAGAGACTTAATTAGATCTCTTTTTAGTCTTTAGCACTGAAATGTAACTGGATGAGATTTTTATGAACTATATTCTGTTCACATTTTTACCCATGCAACTTCTTTACGTTCTGTTGGGTTTACGGTTTAACTGGTAGCATGGCCCCTTGTATCCTAATGCTCTCTGATGATTATTATTATTATAATACTCAAAGTTCCCCTGTCAAATTGTTGATAAACTGACTTTTCACACAGGATTCTCTCATGATTTGACACTGAGCATGGCCCCTCTTTGTAAAATCCATGAGAGACACTGGGTTGGGAAACTACTGGTAAAAGGCTTTGGCATTATAATCCAAAAACATTGCTAGATACTGTGCTGCTTTCTCTTCAGACAACTCATTCACAGAGAGCAACAGCTCGAAGTCTGTCAAGTACACCCAGATTTCAGTCTCATCAGCATGATCAGTAAACTTCTCAGGAAAAAGGGCTTTTGCCATCTTGCAGCTGCTGCCACCAGTTGTAATACTTCCTTATAGAACCACAGAGATTTATGAAACACTGCAAGAAACAACTCCAGCACCCAAAGGCAGGACTGAACTTCTTCCTAGCCTTCTACCCCTGAACCAAGTCTACAACATATCAAAACAAGACAACAACTTAACACACAGATAAAGACATAGCACTACCTATTGGTAGAGGTGTTGTCTGCACTGATCATGATACTAGTATGTATTTTGCATAGGGGAAGGCTCATGGGGCCTGATAATATTTTAACTGGTAGATTTATTTTATTTATTTTTTATTTATCCACAAGTTCTTTCAGTCACTCACTCTATCAGTAGCATAGATTTATTCTACATCTACTCCTAAATTACATTTGTTTTTTCCCCCTAAATATTTTCATGCTTTCACTTTCTGCCCATCTGGGGACTGATTATATACCTTTTTTTCAGCAGACAGACATGCTTTTGGGGTTTTGCTGTATTCTGAGATCTGAACTCTTGCCCTCTCTATAACAATTTCTATTTCTAGACTGTTACACAATAGTGTCTGTGAATTCACTGCTGTTCCTACTTCTGCATAAAGAAAATAACTACCGAAGTGAGAAAAGAGTTTAACTTTTCTTCATTCATTAGCACATCAGTCAAAGAACTGAAGTGGCCTGTGGACTATGAGATGCACTTCTCTCTAAATTAAACCTAACCCTAAACAATTATGATTTGTTCCCAACAGTTACCTCTGTTCTTCTTTGCTTATGCAGTACTTTGTGCCTAAGCCTGCACATGGAATAAATATTTTTTTACTCTGATTTTTTTTTTTTTCAGAAATACCTTTTCCTGTGGGAATAGTCATTGAAATTGACACATTTTTCAGAATGTTTTGAGTTAAACAAAAATGGCATTTTCCGTATATAAAGTTTGGACAAACAGTTTCTGACCAGCATTGGTGAGGGCATCTAGAACCTCACATTAGAAATCTTTTTATTATTATTTAAATCTATGTATATAAATATATAAAAACAGCAAGTGGTCTATTCTAGCAGTAGTACAGCATGGTACTACATGAGGATCCAGGTTTGAGATTCAAATTTATGACCCAATTTTGCCCTCTTGACCCATGTGAGGGAAGAATTGAGCTCTTCTGTTTTGATGAGTTGGTCGCTTCTAGGAGCATTGCAGAGGCAGTGCTCCCAATACCTATGGAAGGATTCCCCTGCTGTATGAACGATCTCTCTGTTCATGTTGGCTAATGGTTTCTGCATGCACCATAGTGAACATAGGGTTCTCCTGGCCTGTATGAGCAAATCAGTAATCTGTCAAAAGGTTTGCCTCTATATGGATAAAAATAATAATAGTTTGTATTTGCATAGTGCTTTTCATCTAGGTATCTCCATTTCAATTTAAAACATTACCTCACCTAACTCTTGAGAGTTATGGGAGCAGTATAATCCCCATTTTGCAGAAAAATAAGCTGAGGTCCAGAGAAAATAGATGACTCGCTGTGTCGCCTCTGACAAATCAGTCGCTCAGCTGAGAATAATAGTCAGGATTACTGACTCCCAGTTCCATGCTCTGTCCACTAAGTAATGCTTCCTTTTTCTAATGTATGCAGCTTCGTCTACAGTATCCACTTATCTTAGTATTTACAGTATTCCCTGAATTTATGCATACTGCAAAAAATCAGATCATGTCATTTAAGGAAACTGGCAGATTTTTAAAGAGTAACCACTGGGTTCCATTAGATTTTTGCCTGTACATTAATACAACTGATGATGGGCCATTACTATAGTTCAGCTTGTGGTGGTGATTTCAGCTAGATCACTCCAGTGTACAGCAGAGTTTCATAAGTTTTAAATAGTACTTGCAATTGTTATTGATTCTGTTGGCCTGCCCTTTCTCCCATTGCAGATCAGACTGTAGCTCAAATCTTAGAGCACTTGATTTTTCTCTTTCTGTAATGATCTGCAGCCCGTTCTCATATCACATGTTTAACCCATGATGCACAAAACATTTGCTTATTCTCTAAAGTTGCAGGATTTTGTTCCAGTTAATACTAATCTCAGTAAATCTCTCAAGCTTTTATTTTAGAATAGCATGTACTTTTACATGCTTTTAATGTTCATTTGTCTTCACGCTTTTCTCCTCCCTCTGAATTGTTTAGTAGTTTTGAGAAAGGCCATTAAACTCAGTTCAAGAGGCAGGAGAAAACATGGAACCCACTGTGATTATGTGGCTCAGCCATGATGGAGTGCAGTCAGAGCTTTGAAGCCTCTTCCTTAAGTTTGTTGACCGAGCACATTAGCAGTGGCAG